ATGATTCTATGATTCTATGATTCTATATTGGTAGAGCAAAAATTACTACTTGTCTAAATTGGGATGTTTTCTTATCTTCTTATATTTAAAGCATAGCCTGCTTTCTTGATTTGAGGCACTTTTTTGAATAGCTTGTGGATGCTCCTAAACAATTCCTTTACCTGTTCGAACTTTTCCTGGCTGGTTTAGTTTTCAGCTTTGAAAAACTGATCCTTTTCAGATTGCTAGATATAATAAGCCCCTAGCCAGTTATGTGTTATGTTTATGCATGCCAAATCCAATTAAGTAATTAAATGCATATGTAAGATTCTAGTTGTGTGATTACATCCTTCAATTTCTTCACATGCTACCTTGAAAGATGGCTTTCACAGTCATGTCAGGTTGAAACAAAGCATATAGAAAACAGTGAGTTCATTATTTTCTAGCAAGACTTTTTTTATCAGTTTAATTTATAAGACTTAATTGGAACTAATTTTAATTATCAAGTACAAGGGAGAAGTGATTCATGCCCTATAATTATTCTTTTGTTCTCAGTTTTTTTACTAGAAATACTTATTTTTAGAAGATAACTTCTTATTCACTATCTTTCAGTATTTTAGATCTGTAACTATGACATTTTCAAGCAAAGCCTCATTTTAAGGAGAGAAAAGGCTGTACACATATAGTAGAAATCAGTAAAATTATCTCAGATTTTTCACATCATTCCTTCTTGAAGTCGTGTAGTGAATGTTTTTCTAGAACATCCATATACTCCATAATGAACATTTCCAAAAGGGATGACAGATTTGGTGTCACATTTTAGCTAACTGAAAACACCTTGGTTCTATATTCAGTGCTATTCAGGCTTTTGCAGTGGAATTAGGCATGTGACTTAAAGAAAATGTCGATATGGGCCTGTCTGCAATTTCACAGCATGAGAAGTGTGTTAGGAACCCAGGAACTGAGGTATAAAAACATCAGAGACCTAAGGTGTTTGCAGTAGAATTTCATGGATTTCGCACCGGTTTTGGCAGCAAAATGGTTTCATCTGAATAAGAGGAAAATATTAACAAGAATTCCTCATTCTTGCCTGGCCAATCACCACTTTATAGAGTTCATTGCAAACTGATGAGCAGAAGCTGTGGTCGGGTCAATTCATGCAGCAATTAAGTTTTCCAAAACATGGTGTTTTTGTATCCCAGCTTGCTGGTGATGCTTTCTTGAAGTACTGCTTCCCAGTTCTTAGGTGTGATATTTATACACAAGCTGTTGATCAGTTCCTGTGGATTGCATTATGGGTATGTTTGGATATCTAATGTCATTCCTTTGTTTTTTGTATCAGGCCAAATAAGTAACACAGAATCAGAGTTGAAGAAACTTGCAGAAGAAAATCCAGACCTTCAAGATGCCTATATAGCAAAACAGAAGCGCCTTAAAGTAAGAAAACTCTTTGTATTACCCCCCTTCATTATGAGATTGTTAGTGTCAGATTTTTTTCTGTCACGATGTAAACATTTGTTTCACCTGTCATTACCAGTAATGCCATGCAGTGGTTTAACCCTACAAGGCACGAAGCAGTCTGTCCCCCAGATCAGCTACACACTTCAAGTGTGTGCTAAAATATTGAACTGGTCCCACTGACTTCAAAGGTAAGTATGCATCAGTGCTGGTGTTGGGCTGTTGAGCACTCTGCAGGGTGAGGCAAACTTCGATACTGAGCATCTCTGATGTTTTTCTTCTGTTATCTGAATTGTCACCAGTATCCAAGTGATATCTGGCTGACTATGTGGAGAAAATAATCACATTTTATGAGTAAGCGCTGTAGTAGCTAAGTAAAAGTTTCTCTGATAATCATTGTACAGAGTTCACAAGTTTAAAACACTAACCTGTATATATATATTTAGTCTAAACTGCTGGATCATGATAATATAAAATACCTAAAGAAAATACTGGAAGAACTGGAAAAAGTTTTGGATCAGGTTGAGACTGAATTGCAGCGGCGAAATGAGGAAACACCAGGTAAGGAATTATTGCTGCTAAATCCTCTTGATGCTTATGTTTGCAGAGACTGAGTAAACTTTTCAAGTTTACAGCTTGACAGCACACATTATAGAACTGGTTTTAGTGTATCTGTTTTGATACTTTTCACATGTACTGATCTAGCGTTACAGAAGGGATCAATACTGTTGTAAATACTAGTTTAGTTTACTGCTGCTGTCAGTTAGCTCTCACTGTCTTATGAGAGTTCTTGATCACATTTTCAGCATAGTGAGTACAATTAGCTGTGCAATTTTGCAGTATTTTATCAAGAAAATAAGAAAAACCTTTACTACGGAATGTTATTTTGATGTAGTTGTAGGCCGCAGTTCACTATAATGATCATGGCCATAAAGTTTAACACAGGTTTATTATAATCTCATGTAAATACTGTGCTGGTATTTGTGGTATATGCAGAATTAGCATTCTGGGTAAGTGCTGTGATCATTCAGCAACCCCCCTCCTCCACCCTTATGGAAAGCAGTGGTGTTTACCTGCCGTCCACCCAAATGAAAGTCGAATTTTGTTTGAGTGGGATTAGTCTTCTGCTTATTCAGGGTCTGGTCCAGCTCCCAGTGGTGCTAATAGGAGTCCTTCCTCTGACTTCCCTGGAAGCTGTGTGAAGCATCAGTCATTATCAGCTACGTCTGCTCAAATCATAGAATCATAGAATGGTTTGGCTCTATAAATAGCTGTGGTAAAAGCTATCCGTTACTACCAAGACAGTAGATTTGAACCAGCGATTGAAGATCTAGGTTAAATTTTCTACTGACTCAACAGTGAAAGAGTCATGGAAAATGTTTTAACTCACAAAGGATGGTAGGATTTTGTTCAGCAAACTAAGTCTGTCACCGTTTCCAGGAGCCCCTTTGCTTTCTCTGCTGAGTAGCCTTTCCAGGGAGTCAACTGATACAATATTGATGAGCTTATGAAAACCGCCACGATCACAGGATCACAGGATTTAATAAAACATATGGCCTTTACCTGCCTCTTGGAATTTTGTCTGAGATACTCACATTTTTGAGGTTTGTGAACAGTGCTTCTCCAGGTCCTGGTCAACCTCTGAGCTTCTACTTCTCTTGCTGCTGCTCAAATCCCTCATTCACTTACTGCTGCTGCTACTGCACGCATCTTTCTTTCACACAGGCTAGCTTCTTTCATCTTCCTTTCCATCATCGTACTTACTTAATGCACTGGATGAATCCCCACTGATCCTTTCAGCAACATAGGATACGCTTGTTCTCTCCAGAGGCCTTCCTTGCAGACCTGCGTAACTGGTTGAAAGGGACTGGTACCAGCAGTGTGCCAAACTGTTACTTTCCTACGGTGACAAATGAGTTGAAAGGGACCTTGCAAAATTTCTGTGTTTCCATAGAGGTGCTGCTGAATGTTAATGCCAGTGTTTTTACGTGCCTGCTTTGTGGGAAGAACTGCAAAAGGTTGCAAGTGAGGAGGGAGTGGCATAGTCCTGTTTGAGATCTAGGCTGGAGCAGAGTACTCATGCTGGCAGCTATGCTAACTACCAAATTTCACATCCTGGGTTTCAGAAGCTGTCGGTGTAGTCAGTACAGGTCAGCCCTTTCAGGTGACGGTGGTTCACATCACTGAAGTTAGAGGTGGGATGCTGCCTGGCAGTGCCTGCTCTGAGCCATCCAGGAAGATTCACCTCTTTGCTTTGATTGGAGAGGGAGCCTGAGGTCTCCATCTATGCTCCTAACGATGGGCAGTGTGAATATCCATCGTTTCTCAAACTCCTCAGTGTAAAACCCCACGGTTTGGGGTCTAGGAGGCACAAAGGAAGGACGGGTAGACAAACAGTCTTCTCACTGAGCTGGTGTGTTTGGTGCGGGTCAGTCATCTGATCTATTTCTTTTTGACTTGAGAAGTCTCCAGCGAATTAGCAGTTCTTGAGGGAATGCCATAGAGCTGTGTGACATGGGCAAGAAGATAAATTCTTCAGGCAGATGGTAGCTTTACTGAAAAGCTAAGCTGCATTCCTCCTTTCTCCTCCTGTTTAATTTGGTCCACATTTTTGAAGTGTAGTTGAGGAAAATAAGTGTTGACTGCGTTTTAATTTATGAACCTGAAATGTGACTCTTTTTCCCTTAACAGATGTAGACCAGGCTGCTGAGCCTAAGACTTTACAATATTGTGTGAAGAATGGACAGGGATTAGTAAAATACTTATTGATTAAAGTCATGTCTTAGCTGAAGTGTTGGTGGTGTTTATTAGACAGCATTTTGAAATAGCACTAAACTAAATGTTAACCCATGGCGGCTTCTATGTGTGCTTGTATTCCATTAGCTCCTAATTCTTTACGTTTTATCTCTGCTTAGAAGATGAAAATCAGCCTTGGCTCTGTGGTGATTTCTTCAGTCTGGCAGATGTATCACTTGCCGTCACATTACATCGCCTGAAGTTTCTGGGATTAGCGAGAAGGAACTGGGGAAATGGAAAGCGGCCCAACTTGGAAGCCTATTATGAGCGTGTCCTGAAGAGAAAAGCATTTTGCAAAGTTTTAGGACACGTCAACAATATACTAATCTCAGCTGTTCTGCCAACGGCGTTCCGCGTGGCCAAGAGAAGGGCTCCCAGGGTTCTTGGCACCACCCTGCTGGTCAGCATGCTGGCAGGAATGGGTTATCTTGCTTTCATATGTCTTCGGAAGAGGTTTGCCAACATGATGTTATCGATTAGAACCAGGCAAAATTATTTTTAGACCCATCAGTCCCTGATGGTGAGTGGAGGACATCTCTACCCCCTAGGAAAATATCCCCCATAAAATAGAAACATAGAAGACAGGTTATGTTTGTGAATTAGAACATTGTCACACAGTAATCGTCTCCTGCTGTTATATAATTGGATTGGCAATGCTGAGATATTTGTGGAAAATATATGTTGAGGGGACAACAAAGGAAGGAAGAGACTTTCTTTTCAGATAAGACCTATAAGGGCTGCAACAGTGCTTTGTTAAAGTGGTTATTGTCTCCTTTACCCATTAGCTGACGTAATCATAATGCTTTTGTTTAATAGATATGCAGCAATGTGACAGCTTTTCACTATGGATGAAGTGCATTACTGTGCAGAAACCAGCACTGTTGAAATACTGAGAATAGCACTTACTTTAAATGCTCGAAGTAGGATTTAAGTGGAATATAGGCCCTGTGCCTGTTGTGTATGGGAGCAAGTGTCTTTGTATTGATTAATACCTATTGATTTGCAGTTGGACCTTTAGGAATGTGTTAACAAGTAGTCTTGTGGAGCCACTTTTGTCACTGTGTTTATGCAGCAGTACAGGAAGAGACCTGAAACACATATGAACATCAGTGATTTGCGGGCGACATGAGTGAAATCTCCAGAGGCATCAGCAGTCAACATCTGCTGAAATACAAATGGGAGTGAAAAACCTGACACTTGTCTTTTGAAAGGCTTTTGGGTAGCCTGTGGTACCCAGCTTGGCCGCAAGCCCTGGCTGAGTCAAACCAAACTTATCTCGGTGCACATTTCCTGCTTTCGTTGGGCTGGCTTGATACAGTTGTCTCCATATTAGCGTCCCACATACCCCTTCTGGTTCCCACTCTGAGCACTGGCTATTTTTTTGCGCACTGCTTGGCTATGTTGGCAGTTGCATGTGCCTCTATGAGGTGTTTGCCCACAACGTGCCATAGCCAACTAGAAAACGTATGCACAACAATGCATTTTGTAAAAGTAATTTAAAATAGCCCACTATCTTTCAATATGGTTAGGTAGCCTAGATTGAAACTGTAATTTAGCCGTCCGTTTACTTATGGAGAGGTGTCATATTGGTGGTAACTGAAAAATATAGGTCAGTTTGGAGACAGGTGATTTGTACTGCAGATTTTTTGCAAAGCTGCACTCTTGTAACATGTAGGAAAGATGTAGAAAAACACTGATTACTTCCCACTTTTCCGCAGATGCGGAGAGTCTTACTAGGTTTGAACTGAGCTCCTGTTTCAATGAGAAACGCACATTTACCTGAAAGTAGCCTTTGAATCGTTTTGCAGCAAGAAAACAATTGGGAAGGGCTGAAAATTCTCATGACAGTTTAGTGAGATTTTTTGTGTTCTTGGTGAATGTCTGAAAGCCTCAGAGTTTTGTTTACAAGTTGTAGATAACTGCAACAAGCAAAACATAGCTTTAAGTGTTTGCCTATCAACAACGAGCGCTAACAGGCCTAAGTACGTTTTAGATCCAGCGCTGGTGGCTGTGGTCTCTGTGCAGAATTGCTTCTGAGCGTCAAGAAGATCCTCTGTCAAGTTTGCTGGAGAGAACTGAGGCAGTTTCTGTCTGGGCAGTCTTGCCACCTAGCAGATATCAAAATGGATAAAATTGTAGAATACTCCTGCTTATAATTTAATATTGTGCTAGTTGTCTAGCAAAAGACAACTCTCATTGCTCCTTTTCAATAATAAGAAACACCTTACCTAGGAAACAATGCTTTTCTTTAGTTGTCAAAAAGAGCGTTTTGTATAATTCTGTTTCATGACTCAGTTGTTCTCAAGAACTTGTGAAATTGAATGTGCTCTATTTAGAAAAGCTTTATTATCTCTAGAGTAAGTTTAATCCAACAATACTATTAATGTGCTGGCAACTTTAACTGAGTTTGTTGTTTGTATATTGCAGTTCATCTGCATTTACTTGTAACCAACAAATTCCACTAAGTTAATAAACACAGAGTAAGGCTTGTAACTTAATGCGTCCCTGGCATGTATTTCTGTCAGGCCATCTGTAAAATATAATCTGATCAAGTCACTGTAAAATTCAATATATATGACTTAGCTTGCTTTAGAATTAATTTATATTTTACTTTTTCCTTCCTCTTTTTTTTTTTTTAATGTGTTAGTTGTAGATAAGAACGCTTCCATTCCCAGAGGTGTGCCCGTTTAGTTCACATTAGGAGCCCTGCGGTCTGCGATACAGCCTAATTCTAGATTTTTTTATTTTATTTTTTTTTTCTTCCCCCTAAAAAAACTCAGTGATCTCTGCACTTCAGCTGGCGCTCGTTGCCTGCCAGGAGCTG